TATATATATAGATTAAAAGGCAAAATACTGAAAAACAACAATGCTGTGGGAAACGATGGCTGGATCTCAGTAGAGATAAAAAAATGATAAGCAACAGCTAAAAAGTAAACGTAAGTAAACAGCCAGAAATAGAACCAGAGCTTTCGGACAACACTAGTCCTTCCTCAGTGGCGAGGATATATATATATATCGTTTAATGAACATTTCTTTGTGTTTCCAGCTGGCGATGGTAAGAATGCGCATGTGTATATAATCGATACAGGTATAAACCCAATTCATGTGGACTTTGGCTCTAGAGCAACACAGGATTATGGAAATGTAAGTTTATTACTAGCATACGACGTCATTACAAAAAAAAATGACTTTCATTATTTCAACTAAAATTATTTCCAATACAAATGCAAGGCTCAGTATAATTTTTGTTATATTATTATTTGAAATATTCTTAGGAAGATTGTAACGGCCACGGAACACATTGTGCTGGTACCGTTGGTAGCTCTACCTACGGTATCGCTACCGGAGCATCCCTCCATGGTGTACAGGTGCTCGGGTGTCTTGGTTCGGGTTCATGGTCGGAAGTCATTGCCGGTAAGGAATGCTTTAAAACATGTTGAAAAAATATTATTATATTGTTATTATTATTATTATTATTATTATTATTATTATTATTATTATTATTATTATTATTATTATTATTATTTGTATTATTAATATCATTGTTATTATTTTTATTATTATTATCATTATTATTATCATTATTATTATTATTATTAGGCCTACAGTATATTATTAATATTGTTGTTATACTGCTGTTGTTATTAATTGTATTATTATAGTGGTTGTTATTTAGTCAATATTATTTTGCATCTCGTAAACTGTTTTCTTCGTAGGTTGTGAGTACGTAGCGGAGAATGCTAAGAAACCGGCCGTCGCATCCATGTCACTGGGCGGCGGACCATCCCCGACTGTGGATGATGCCATCAAGAAAATGGTTTATGCTGGCATCACCGTGTCGGTCGCTGCTGGTAATGATAACTCTGATGCTTGCAACACCTCCCCAGCTCGAGTCGAAGAGGTATAATTGATATATCATTGATTGGATTATTTCATTACTCAGTGATACTGATATTGGCAATGATAATGATAATAACAATGATGATGATAATGACGACAATTATTATGAGGATGGTGATAATTATAATGAGGATAATAATAATACAAATTTTAATAAATCATTTACTAAATTAATAGTAACTGCCTCCTTGACGTAGTCGGCAGCGCGTTAGTCTCATAATCTTAAGATTTGTCTACACTATCAAATTTTTACAGGGGCGGATCCAGAGATGTCCAAAAGTTGTGGAGGGGGCGAAAGGGGGCCAAAAGTTGGGCCGATCGAGACAACACTGTGCTAGGGGGTCCGGGGGCACACCCCCGCGAAATTTTTGTGTTTGACGCCCGAAAATAACATTTGAGGCGTTCTGAGCTATCATTTTTTTCTTTTTCTTTGTTTTTTTTTCTTCTTTTTTTTACCTCCCAAAATCCATAAATCTGCCCCTGTTTTATATGACAAATTTATGCGATGATGTCATATTTCAACCAAATATGGGCATATCACAGTCATTTGTCAAAAAAAATTTAATAGTGTGGGCAAATCTTATAGCTTCACAGGAGGTTAATAGTAACATTACTAATAATGTAATAAAAAAAAAATTACATGCTAGGGCCTAATAAAATTATTATTATTGTATTAGTATTCATTTATTAATAATTATTCTGAATTAATTAGGCCATTACAGTTGGTGCCACTGAAAAAACTGATGTTCGCTCCTATTTCTCCAACTATGGCAAATGTGTCAACATCTTTGCACCTGGAACTGACATCACTTCCACCTGGTATACCAGTAGGCGTGCTACAAACACCATTAGCGGGACATCAATGGCATGCCCTCATGTAGCAGGTGAGTGCATCATTACACAAAACAGTAACATGAAGCCTTTAATTAAGGCTTCTTCGGAACCTACCGCAACTGGCGCTCTGGGTGCGTGAAGCCTGGTTTCCATAAAAATCTCTACAAGCTATTGCCGACTCCTTTGGCGACGCTGATTGGTCGGTTGAATTAGAGAATGTTCCCAATTGCGTCGGGGACAGCTACGCGCAGTGCAAGAATTGCAGTAAAAACGCGGTAGCAACTGTATGCGACAATATGAGGTTCTCGCCGCCACACCCACCTTAGCTCACCATGGTTGGTGTAAAGTGGGAAATAATCGAGCTTTCCTTTCACATCACTGCTGGATCGCCACGAACTCATGGGTACAATTTTTCCTCTCTTTAACTCAACATTTTCGGCTTGACTGAATTTGGGGGAGGGGGGAGGAACGGGCCCTCATGTCCCCCCCCCCCTTCGCTGGTTCCGCCACTGGTCCTGGTTTCATGTTCTATGCTTTTAGTAATTTTATCTTTTCCATTATATAATATTTTGAAACCGAATATAAAACAAAAAAGAGGCAAGTAAAGAAAGGTAAGGTGAATGTAAAAGGAGGAACAAACTATCCTAAAAATATAAAGAGTGAGAACGATCGAGAACCATAATATCGGATACAGTATTCGCAAGATAGATGTGCATTAGAAACCGCTATCGAAAACGTACCGAAACCGTACCGTACGGTTCCGTGGAGTGCGAATAGCCGGTTTGTTTGTACTGTATTAGTTTTCTCCAGTAAACGTCGCAAATAGGGGCTTAGCTGGTATCGATGATACTTATGGTGTTTATTTTATGATTAGTCAGTTCTTTATATTGACGTTACCTTTCGAATAAAGGTTTTGTCTAGAAATCCTGGCATTTGAGGGTCTTAATTTGCAGGGTCTGATATTTCGAGTGGGTCTGATATCTCGTGGTCTTAGGTC